TTATGCATCAGGTCCAATAGCCTATTGAAAAGTGTCTTCATATCTGTGCTGGCCAAGCAAATTCAGATCCAGGTTGTGATTTATCCCTCCTGGGACCTTGACCATTAAAGGAAAATAATGGATCTATCCTGGCTATCCAATCTCTGAAACCTTTATCTTAGAGCCAACCAAAAGCTCTGTGTTTAAAGCATAGACGCAAGAGGAGGACAGCGGTGCTGAAGTTATTCCTGAGAGGGCTCATTGGGTCTCCTCCACAGGTGGATAGCTTCCCTGGGGGAAAGAAAAGAGTTTTACAACAGATCTCAGACGGCTACTCAAAGGAGTAAGGGCATTTCTGAATGAACTAAAAGTGGCCAACAGTGCCCAGCAGGGTGACCTCAGACAGGCCACTGGACCTCTCTGAGCTGTTTCCTCACCAATAGGATTGAGTGGAATGAATACTGAGTGTTTCACTACCTTAAAATTTAGTAACCAGTGCTGTGTTGGGTTTGGCTTTCATAGGTATTGGGATTACAGTGAATTACCAATAATACCACAAGGAAACTCTGGTTTCCAAGGGATTATGCAGTGAAGGGGTGAGGCTCCAGAATGTCTTTACACAGCAAAGTGATGGTACAGATAGGATACAGTCCTATAACCTAATTCCCATGCCCATTGCCCATCCTGATATGCGATTATTTCCCATTCGACTTGGCGATTTGTCTGTTAGCAGCTTGGCTGCTGAAGCTGCTGTCAGTAGTGCTGACATTAAACCCCAAGTGGCAGAAGGCAGTGGGATGGAAACTGTGCCCACATTACCATATTTCTGGCCTGACCCAATTGGCAGGTGGGTGTTGCTTTACCTCGCCCATAACTAACATCTTTTGGGCTTTTAAGATCACCATTTCCTCAAATCATACTGATGACAGAAATTGTTTAGCCCCAAAGGCCTTGCCCTCCAAATTTCCCTGCTTCTAAAAATGTGCTGTTTTTACCTAGTGCCCCAGAGTCATGTTTTGTATGTTCCTGGTCCCTTCCACTCCACATAGATGACAGGTGTTTAATCATGTAGGTGATCTTAGTTTCATTTTTAGAAATAAGGCTTCTTTAGCATTGATTCAGCAATCATGTGTATCACCCCAGGGCAGGAACCTAGGGATGGAGATGAATGAGACACTGCCCATGATTTCTAGAAGAGTTAACATTTGTGCAGCATCTAACAGTTTCAAAGGACTTCCACATACATTTTACTCATGTGCCTTCCCCAACAATTTGGAGAGGTGAGCAAAGCAGGTCATACTATTTCCATTTCAGAGAAAAACGGATACAGAAGAGCAAGACAAGTTCAAGTTCCCACAGGTTCACAGTGTTGAAACTGCCTCAGGTTCAAGTCTCCTGGCCACAGACCTCTTGCTCCTACCTCTCTACCATGTGTCTTCCCAGAACCATGAAGCAGGACAGATGTATTCTTGGTAAGCTCTTGTTGGCGTGTTCCCTGTTCCTGAGATGCTTGTAACACTGAGTGAAAGATAAAATGTGTCGTGGTTCGGAGGGGCTGCTGAAGGTGTTTGACCCAAGCCTACACCCTGCTTGTTGGCTTGGTGCCTCTGTTAGCTGGTCAGGCAAGGGCAGCCCACCCGCTCCCTGAAGTTTCTAATCTCCCAGTTGTATACTCTTTTTTAACTTACACCGTGCAAAAGTATCAAGGTCAGAACATGATTGAAGAACCTTCTTCCTCTCTTTTAAGTCCCCACGATTATATGATATTGTTTTGCACTAAAGAAGGTTCTCTTAAAAATGAGGTTGAGATCCCTAAAGAAATTGCTTCAATCAGCAGCCGGGCTTAATGACTGTTAATGGGAAGTGGAGATAGGATAGTAAGTGTTACTTTGATTAATAAGAGAACTGCAGAGAATTTAAATTGTGCCACTGATGGATTATTTTCTTCAAGCTTGATAAGCACTTCTCATTTGTTCTTAAATTTGGTCAATACTGTTAAAGGCAGCAAAATGAAGTATAATTAATTCTATTACTGCTGCTCAGACCAAGTGTTACTAAGAAACAGATTATGATGCAGACGGCAGTGGGAGTCACGGTGTTGACAGTTTGATTCTCTGAATACCTGTCATTGCTTGTTAGCCTGAAAGAATGAAGAAAATCTTTCTATATCCTGATTTTGAGATACCCAAAACTGTTTTTTCATCTGTGCATATCCCACAGGCTATAATTCAGGAAATATCAACTGATGCTAAAATTATCCTGTTTTGGAAGTATAGAGAGTAAATACAAGATTGAGATAATACATCAGTTAAAACATTAAGAGATGGGTGCTCGTTTTGAATTAATCACTAAGAAAATGGGATATTGATTTGATGTTGAATGGCTGTTGGAAGAATGCTTTACATATTTCCTTTTCTTGAAGATTCTGCCCCTATTATAAACCAAGCTTTACTTTTGTTCTTAATTTTATTCAGAGCTATTGATAAACAAATGGAATTTAGAAAAAAGATTATTTGGGTAGGCAATTTTATTTGAGTACTAATAATGCCTAGGACATTAGATATAGCCCTTCCCTTGTTTTCTGCAAACACCAGGATGGTTCAGAATTTTCTGAATAGCTATTTTTCTTGACCACTCTTAAAGCTGTCCCTACCTATTTATTTAAGAATTCAAATCACACTGTAAGTGATGCTGAAATTCATGCCTGAATGTGGGCTGATATTTATAAGGTTTTACCTACTAGTTTTCAGCTTCTTAATTCAGTGCTAGCCTTTCAGTTCATACATCTAGGCATATCTGGTTAATTCACGGAGCACTTCCAAGCCTTAAAAAAGAAAGAAAAATTAATCTTAGTTTATTTTTTTAAAAAATATGCAATGCATCAGTCCCGTTTCACAGAATCCACCAAATACAGCAGGATTTTAAAACTTCAGAAAGACTGGGCATCAGACTGAGCATGTACCCCTCTGCTCATACTTTCTTTTTTTTTCAACCTTCATGTCATTTTCTCAGTTATTGTTTTAAAACGTTCACATTCTACTCTTAGAAAGATTCACTTGTACCCCTGTAAGATAAACCTCAGAAGTGATCCCTCCAATCCTCCTCCCTCCACCCATTCCTCCCTCCCTTCTCCCTCCCTCCTCCCCATACTCTTAGGCTATTTGGTTATAGCTTTCATATTGCTCGTACTTTCTATTTCCAAATCTTCTGTTTTTCTCCAAAGTGTATAAAGTCACTGGGTGAGTAACCTAGGAGTAATATAAAATCTACGTGCTGTACGTTAATATGCAGTTATAAAGTTTCTCTGAAGTTCTAATTTCGTTATTAAAAATGTAAACCTCATCTATTATGAATTGAAGACTAATTCTCTGGCCCAGATATCCCATAAACATAATTTCTGAAGATGGAAAAATTATAGAAAGAGCATTTCAGAATGTGAAAGTCAAGCTATTCTAGAAGTTGTCTGCAGAATGTATCTTCAGAGATAGAATCCAGTGTGTGAGAAAGAGCCCAGAGCCATCAGGCTGCCAGGAACCCAAGCTCTGGGAGTTCTGCTGCTGAGCAGTGCTGAACAGCCTGGAACCAGTCTCTTGAGCCATCTGAGACTAAGTTTCTCCTCTGTAAAGTTGAGGGTTAGCTCAGCTGATCTCCCAGGTCCTTTTATCCTTAAAAACACTGGTCTTTGAGTAAAACTCAAGCATAAGATATTCAGATAATCTTCCAAAGATCTTTGCTCAAAATGACTTGTTCTATATAGATACTATTATTATAGAAGTGCTTACTGTGCTCAACCTCACAATCTCCCAGTGTGAATAATTCATTCCACAGACATGTGGCCCCTGCACACACGAGGCCCTGGTCCATGCAGGATGTGGAATGGGGAATCCAGGCTTATTTGCGCTCGCAGGGAGCCTGCATGCTAGGAGGAGGCAAGCAGGAAACAAGGGCACAGATCAGTGTGTGTGTAAGGTTTCCTTTCAGGTGGGTGCAGTGGAGAGGCACAGCCAGGAAACAAGATCACATGTGGTCAGAGAAGGGCTTTCTGGCAGGGTGAAACCAACAAAGAGAACACTGGCCAGCAGGGAGCAGGGAGGGGAATATGGAAGGGAGAACGCAGCCTTCCTTGCTAAAGGCTTAGGCAGAAAGAAGCATGGCACTCATCTGCATTGCCTTACCACACTGTCTCTGTTTTTCTACTAAATATTCTTGAAATGTGTCCTTGTTAACTCAAGAAAACGAAGCAGAGAAATGGTTGTTCCCGTTGCTTTTCATCCAGCCATCCCCAGCTATAGCAATTCGAGTCATCTTGACTTTGGTTTTCCAGATTGCTGCAGACAATTCAAGTTGAAAAACTTCGAGTTGGGTTATTTTCATTCATACTGTATCTGTGTTTGCCCATAGAATTCGGTACAACTTATGACTTTAGAATTACTGTATAATGCTCAGAGGTGTGAAATGCCATTTCGAGTAATGCCTTTCTTCAGCTAATATAGATAAATATTGATGGCAGGCAGCAGTAAAACAAGTCATTAAATCCTTCAGTGCAAGTGTGTCCCACATTGCTGGAAGCTACAGAAATCACACCAGGCTCCAAGCAAACCGCCGCATGTGATGAGCGAGCTCCCAGATTTCCTGCTTCCTCATTCCAAATTGGAATACAAGGGAGCGTGGGTGAGGCACGGGAACCAAGGGCCAGCCTAGGAGACAGGGCCTGGAGGTTAGATCGTCCCGTTAGCTTGTTTTGTCCACAGTTCTTTCCTTTATCACCCTTATGAATTCCCAGGTGAGCAAGAAACCTTGGAAAAAATGGCAATCAGCTATAAACGGGAGGTCTGGTGCTCTGAAAACGAAGAAACTTTAAATCGAAACTAGTAACCCTATAAAACCAGCTGAAGATTTGGAGGAGTTATAAACCCTTCCTCGGCTGCAGTTTCGATTATTTGGCTTCGGTGTCTGTCGTGGGGCAGCAGAACTTGGTGAGGGTCACAGAGAGGCCTGGGGTCGGGGGGAGCAGGTGATGGTTACAGGGCCAGATAACGTGTTTCTGTTGCCCGAGTCTTAGGATGAAAAATGAAAGGACCGTTTTTCTCATTGTGTAACGCCAGCCTCGAGGATCCCAGCCTGGGATGAAGTGTGGCGCTCTGCCGTGTGGAGTACGCTTTCTTCAAGGTGTTTTTAATGGGCTGTGGGCTGTCAAAGACACCGCTCTGATAATGAGGCTGAGAGCCCCACATGCGGAGAAAGCTCTGTAATGAGGGAGGAGGACAATTTGTTACAGTTATGTGGTTACTTGGCCATAATATCTTTTTGAGGTTTATTAAATCATATAAAATTTCAATTTACACTGTAATATTCTATAAAAGATGGAGCACACAGAAGTAATAAGTATGACAACATTTCTTTCATTTAGGAATCGTAGTGTGGATTGTGTTAACACTGCCACATCCAGCAGCAGGATTATTTATGTCGGGACAGTAATTTTCTATCTCCAACTTAATTTTGTAAAAGTTAATTACAAATTAGAATAAACTGAATGCAGTTATGGACGGCAGGGATATGTGGAGATAGGATGTTATCGGGGCAGCATACACGTCTTGATGAAGGCTGTTGGTTTTTTCCACCAAAAAATGGACTATCTGGGAAGAATAGAGAGCGACTCAGTGGTCTTCCCAGCAAAACTCCTTCCTATCCCTGTCTGGTAACTGGGGCCCAGAAAGGTTACAGACCCTGCCACAGTCACTGGAATGTCGTGACGGCATGAGGACGAGAATTCAGTGTTCCTGACACTAGATCAGTCAAATTTCACTTGACTTTAATGTGGATATATTTTTGTTTCTACCTTAAAAGTGAGGGAAAAAAAAAAGTGAGGAGTGAGGAGGCTTAGGGGAGGGGAACATTTCTCCACATTTGAAGAGTGGAAAACCAAAGTCGAGATGATCTGAATTACTATAGCTGGGAATGTCTGCATAAAAAGCAATGGGAACAACCATTTCTCTGCTTCGTTTTCTTGAGTTAACAAGAACACATTTCAAGTATATTTAGTAGAAAAACAGAGACAGTGTAGTAAGGCAATGCAGATGAGTGCCATGCTTCTTTCTGCCTAAGCATTCAGCAAGGAAGGCTGCGTTATCCCTTCCATATTCCCCTCCCTGCTCCCTGCTGGCCAGTGTTCTCTTTGTTGGTTTCACCCTGCCAGAAAGACCTTCTCAGACCACATTTGATCATATTTCCTTCTCCCATTGGCTCCAAAAGCCAATCTGTGCCCAGGAAGATGGAAAATGGAAGTATAAGACTCTCTCAGATGGGGACCTTCCCAGTTGAATTTCTTTTCCAGTTATCCATGGCCACTGGTAATAACAAAGTTTCATGGATGGACTTTCTGCCAAAGTAACTGAACAAAAGAACCCCAGAGGCTTCACTCCTGTCAGCCAGACCCCCAGAAAGGAGGGAGCACCAAAGATGAGAACTGAAACAGAAAAGACAAGAAGCCCCAGGCCTCGGAGTATGAACCTGGAGCCTTCATTGACACTTTTATCTGGGATTCGTTCAAGTGCATTTGGGCCTGGTCCCGGAGAAGCCACTGAACTCCATGACACCCTACTTGTTTTCACATTCCCCCCACTCTTCCCAATCAGATGATCTCTCCTCTTTCCCATCCTCACCACCATAGTTGATCCATTTCGGGGCCTTGTGAAATATCATGATTGACTCACTAGGTGAAAGACTTTTATATTTCGTTTTTAATAGAGCAAAAGTGACTCTAAATTTGTTAATATTCTTTAGGTTACATAGGACAAATTACAGATAAGTGAATCAGTAATGAAATTTGTAATGAGAATTTCTCAAGTATGAAATGTTGGCGCAAGGAAAGTTAATTGCGGGATTTTACAGCCATTATAGTTTATATCATAAATGCAAAAATGACTAGGGCCATTTAATTACAGTAGGAACACACTAAATTTTTATGGAGTGCCATTTTGTTAAAGAGGTACTCGGAGCATTAAGAGCAAATACCTCCTAACAGTAGGTCCAGGTAGTTTTCAAAACATCAAATAAATATGCTATTGCTACAAAATTGTTCCTTAGATACTATAATTGACACGATGACTAATGAGATGGGTTTATTCTCATGGCTTCACATACTCAATTTACAGTGTCAGAAAGTTATTTTTTCTGCCATGCATAGACCTGGAAGGAACCAGAAAAATCCCTCTTGGAAAACACTATCTCTGCTGCTTCTCTAATTAACCTTCAAAAATGCATTTTGAAATATAGAAGTTGGTGCCTGGCATAGAAATTGGATTGTCTCAGAAAAAATACCCAAGTGCTAATTTGTCCCTTATTAAAAATCCGACATGTCAAAATTACAGAGGGAGTTAATGTTTTGGAGCCTTTCGGCAGGGCCCAGGAACAGCTAAGAGCTGGGCTCATGGGGACAGTTCTGGTTACCTGTTCCCCCAGAAGCCAATGCTATCCTCACTAAGCCCCCAGGCCAGGCTCGCAGCCACCTTGGCACTGGGGGCATCAAATCTCCTAGTCCCTAGTGGGAGAAGGTGACTAGCATCCTCCCTCAGTATGAGCTTGGGGATGTATCCTCTCCCCATCTCTCATCCCAGGCCTCAGGGGCTTCCAGAATGGGAAAGAAGATTTCATGGGGAAAAAAGCTATATTCCTATATTCACTCTGGACCCCTGAAAATGTTTCAGATTATCTTGGAAACCAAAGGTTTTATCCCCACCCCACCACCACCACAATTCTTCAGGGAAGGGCTAGGAAGGAGATTCTTCTAGATAGTATTATTTTCCCTGTGAAAACCAAATTGAAGACGTATGTGGTCTCCCATGTTCAACCCCATGGAGCTGAAATTAAAAAACCATTGATTTAGAAAAACCTGCATTCAAGACCCTGCTCTGCCATGTAGTAACGAAGAAACTTTGAGTCTCTGTGTCTGAGTAGGAAAAAACACAGATCGTTTTTCCTCTGAGCTAACCCTGCAAGAATCAACACAGAAGACTTCTGTGACTAGATGAGTGGGGATTTCTCTCCAGCAACAAACAAGAAATCAATTCTGCAGTGGACACGAGCCGGGTGCCCTTCAATTCAATTTGGACACAATCCACCTGGAGTCAGCGTCAGCTTGCACAGGTTAAGGGCTCAGTTTCACAAGACTGCCCCCCCCCATTCCAGTGTCAACCACAGCACTTTATGATGCTATGTAAATTGTTGCTACATTTTAGTTTAGGGAACAATAACAAGGGAAAAGTCTATCCGTGTTCAGTGGGGATGCAATTTTTTTCCTACTGTTTCTGTTCCATAGATGGTTGAATCCATGGACATGGAATCCACAGACACACAGAAGGCTGACCATGCAATAGAAAATTATTCAGCCTTAAAAAGGAGAAAAATTCTGACATAAGCTACAATATGGATGAACCCTAAAGATGTTATGTTCAGGGAAATAAGCTAGTCACAAAAGGTCAAATAATGTATGACTCCAGTTACACAACACCCCTACGGTAGTCAAATTCAAAGAAATGGAAAGTAGAATGGTCATTTCTAGGAGAGAAATGTAGAGTTAGTATTTAGTAGGTACAGAGTTTCAATTTTTCATGATGAAAAGTGTTCTTGAGCTGGATGGGGTGATGGTGGCATAACGATGTGAAGGTCTGACATTAAGTTCAGGAACTAATCCTAGAAAAAGGGCTACATACCTGATTGCCGAATAGCACTACAGTTACCTTCCCAGTACTCCCCTTGGGCAGCTATGCACCCATGCCTGTGCCTAGTCACCCTTTACAGCAATTTTGGAACTCTTTTTCTGGAATGGCCATCAGAGCTATCATCTTATTACTCTTTGGTGTTCTAAATGTTGTCCCAATGTCTTCCTTTTAATATTTTCTTTATCTTCGGGTGAAGAAAAAAGTCACTGGAGGCTAGATCGGGTGAATAGGGAGGGTGCTCGGATGCCTTTATTTGTTTACTGGCTAAAAAACTCTTTCACAGACAGTGCTGTGTGAGCTGGTGCATTGTCATGATGAAAGAGCCACACCTTTCTCATGCCAAGATATTCAGTTATGATTTTCCTACTCCTGTTTGCTTGGTCTGCTGTGCTTCTCAGTCAGCCAATGATTTTGATGCACAATTCAATACGTTTTTGCAATGTTTTCATCAGTTCTGCTCGTTACTGGCCTCCCTGACCTCTCTTCAACAGTGCTGCTCTCCTCTCAGAGAAATGTTTAATCCATTTGTACACTGCCATTCTCTTTTGTGACATTATCCTCACAAATGTGGACTAACATGTCCCTGATTTCATTTCCACTCTTGTCAAGTTTAATAGGAAATTTAATGTTTGTCCATTGCTTTAATTCAAGTTCCAACATTCTCGAGACAGCACACAAAAACACACAACTATAATGAACATCACTCAGCAAGGCACCACCACACATAGACATGAACACAGCTGTGAGACACTGATATACCAAGGTTAAGAAACTTTAGCAAGTTGTTTATACAGTGCTGCCAACGTAAGTGTGCGATGGAAAGTTCATGACCTTCATTGTCAGACTTTGTACTTAATGCTGCTGATCTTACACATAAAAATGGGTAAGATGGTGAACGTTAGGATATGTGTATTTTATCAGAATTAAAAATAATATATTTTTTAAAGTACAGCATATCTAAGGGTCTCAACCTCTGTACCTAGGATGAACTTCACCAGGGTCTGTGAATCTTCTAAAATTGCATGAAAAAAATTTGTGAGAGATATCACTCCTCCTTAATAGTGTCTATCTGACAAACCATCCAGAAAATATTAATAGTTTACACTTTCATCATAGGAATACTTTAACTATATTTAATGTCATGATCTATAACCCATTTCCTCCAATTTGGTTGTGAAAACTACATAAATGAAAACCAACAGTGTTTAGAGAACAATGGCCCATTGGGCATTGGACAGGCTGGTGTGGAGTGGTGAGAGAGAGATGGGATCAGATATCTGTAGCTGGCCCAGGTGAGTGAGATGAAGGTACCAGGAACTCAGAAAACATGTAACATGTGTTGCACACGTGAGACTGGTAGATGTAACATTCATAATGGTCTATTTTTTTTTCATAGTGGTCTTGACTATTTGATGTGACTTCAAGTGTGTTGTTTTTAAAAGTATAAAACAATGCTTTCCAAACACTCTTGTGAGGTTTGAACAAGATGCTGCACGGATAACAGTAAGCGTATGTGATCTGTGATGCCACCAGGCCGCGAGGAATCCTCCTAGCCAGCGTCCTTGCTGGTGGACATGTCTGTTTGACTGCCTTCATTAGCCACATTTCAATGGTGAATATTGAGATTTGGGGAATTTACAAAGGTTGTAGGAAGTGTGCCTCACAATGTCAAGAATTTGCTCCATGCAAGTCTGTGTAATGTGTGTGTGTGTGTGTGTGTTAGCCATCCCTGGCTCACACAGGTGAGGTAGAGCAGACAATGACCTTTCTGATGTGATTGAAAGAGTAGTGGCCCTAAAATACCTTTCTCATCACGTAGCATGATACTGCCAATCCCGCTGCTAATTTATCCAAAGTAAGGCAGTAATTCCATTCTCTAGAACAGTGGTCCCCAACCTTTTTGGCACCAGGGGCTGGTTTCAGGGAAGAACATTTTTCCACGCACAGGGGGATGTGGGAACATTAGATTCTCATAAGGAGGTGCAACCTAGCTCCCTCACGTGCACAGTTTACAGTAAGGTTTTGCTCCTGTGAGAATCTCAGGTGGTGATGTAAGCAGTGGGGTGTGGCTGTGGGGCCAGGTTCCTAAAAGGCCTCCAGTCTGAGCTCCAGGCGTTGGAGGTTGCAGCTCCAGAAGTGTCTCTATCAAACTTCAGATTGCCTCGTACTACTTTTGTAGGGCTGCCATAAAAAAAGCCACAGACGTGGGGGCTTACACAACAGAATTTTTTTTTTTTTTGTCACAGTTCTGGAGGCTGGGAGTCCAACACAGAGATGTGGGCAGGTTACTTCCTCTGAGGCCCCTGTTCCCAGCCTGCAGGTGGCTGCCTTCTCCCTGTGTCCTCACATGCCTTTTCTCTGCCGGAGTCCCTTTCTCTTCTTATGGAGACACCAGCCAAATGGTTAGGCCTGATTCTTAGACCTTATTTTTCCTTCATCACCTCTCTGCAGCCCCGTCTCCAAATAGAGTCCCATTCTGAAGTGCTGGGGTTAGCAGGTCGACACAGATATTTGAGAGAGACACAATTCAGCCCCTCACAACCCCCAAGAGAGGTAACATTAGATATTGCTGGGGGGGGGGTCACTGGAATGACATTTTTGGTTCCTTTGCTGCACACCTGATACTTAAAGGTGGGTCCTTGTGGTAATTATGGGGCTTTTAATTTCAGGGCTAACCTGAGGAGGGGAATTTTGGAGCAGGGGCCTCTGACTCCCAGTGTAGGGCAGTCCTGTCTGGGGGTCTCCACATGTATGCTGAAGAGTTCCAAAGAAAGGCGGGACCCCCAAGGAGCTTGGGGGCCATCAGGAGGTGGAAATGCGAGGCAAAGAGGAGAGCTAAGAGCCACTAGAGACAAACCCTCCTGATTGTCCTTGAGTTTTGCCCAAGACCTGTCCAGTCATTCCAAGAAATAACTATGCTGCTGCCAAGCCTCCTTCCACTGGCGGTGATGGGGCTTCTTCTTTGCATGCTCACTCTCTCTCCCAGGCGGCGGCAGCATCTGGGGCTCCCCACTTCACTCCTCTCCCACCCCCAGCAGCAGCCTCCGGAGGAATTTGTCTGATTAAGCAGCACAGGGGAGGAAGAGAAGGTGGGGCCCTCAGTATAGAACGTTTCCCAGAACTTTGGGGTGTCCGGCATTCTGGCATCAGTGCAGGGTTTATACCAAGTCACCTTACAGTGGGCTGTCAGTATGTCACCAGCAGATAACGATGATCCTCTAAGGCAGGGCTTTGCCACCGTTTTTATCTCACAACGCGCTTGAACCTATAAGTAAACTGCCATGACACACTTACATTATGTTGATCAATAAAAAGAATAAAAAAGAAAGAATATACTTATTGTGCTTTGAACTTCTTTCAAAAATGATTTGATTAATTATCTTTAAAATTTCTTCGGCACATCTAATACCCTCTGACTGCACACCGGTTGAAAATCACTGCTCTAAAGGCTGATGATGTGAAGAAACCCCCCATAACTGACAGCCCTTCTCTTTATCTCCTGTCGCCTTCAATCGTGAGGTCAGCAGGATAGAGCAGAAGTCACACTGGGCTGGAAACCTAGCTGCTTCTATCAGTTTTCCTCTAGGTGACTTTGTGACCTCCTGTAAGTCTTTTAACCTCCTTGGAGCTCTCTTTCCTCATTAAGAAAATGAAGCAAATGAGGGTTGTCGTGACCCGTGATCCTCAGTGGCAGGCAACTCCCCCAGAAGTTTAGAATCTCCATGTACGAATAGTTTGAGAACAAAGCCAGGCTTGGTCCCTTCTTTTGGTTTATTTTCAGTCACAATATTTCACCTAATGTTAACAAAGGACATAGAATTTTTTAAAAGAATTCTTAAACAATTTTAAACTTACAGAAAAGTTGGAAAAATAATGCAGAATTTCCTGTCCCTCCCGTGGTCTCCCCTGATGTCACCATCTTACATAACCACAGCACAACTGTGGAGAACCGGAAATTAACATTGGTACAATATAATGAAGTGAGCTGCAGTTCAATCTGAAGCTCGTTCTCCCACTGATCTCCTTTTCCTGTTTCAGGATCTACCCTGGGACTCTAATGTGCAGTGAGCAGCTGTTTCTCCCAGTCTTCTCCTCTCGGTAGTGCTTCCCTGTTCTCTCCTTGTCCTTCATGACCTTGACAGTTTGCGGGAGTATCCAGCCACTTCCACTGAAGACTGTCCCTCGGTTTGGGTTCGTTTGCGCTTTCTAATAAATGGAGTAAGGTTATGCATTTTTGGCAAGAATACCACAAAAATTGTGGCCTTTTTCAGGGTATCGTATCATGGGATTTGTGATATGACTGGTGACATTTATTTTGATCATTTGGTGAAGATGGTGTCTGTTGGCTTTCTCAGGATCTTTCCCTTTGTTGCGGATACGCAGCTTGGGTGATACTTTGAGAGGAAGCATAGTCTCTTCCTCCTCAAACTTTCACTCGCTAATTTTGGCGTCCATCAGTGGGTCCTGCCCACAACCTTCATTCTGTGGAGTCTGCCGTGATGCTCCGTCTCTCTTTCCCTCTGCGTATATTCCCTGGAATTCCACTGTGAAGAAGAGCTAGCTCTCCCCCCATTACTTTTCTGGTTTTTGTTTGTTTACTTATTTATATCAATGTGGATATTTATTCCTTTGAGCCACAAGCACCACAGGATAGTTATTTATGGATGTTTATTTTGTTCTAGCTTAAAATCTAGTGCTATCTTTATGTATTTGCTGCTTAGAATGTTTCAGCTTTTAGCTCCTTCAGGTTAGGAGTTTGACAAACTATTATATTTTTTCTTTTCTTTTTTTGTCTCTCTCTCTCTCTCCCTTCCTCTCTCTTTCTCTGTCTCTTTTTCTCTTCTTTCTTCTTCCTTCCTTCCTTCCTTTCTTTCTTTCTTCTTTTTTTTTTTTTTTTT